TGCACCTTCCCTGCCCTGCCTGACCCTGCCCTGCCCTGCCTGACCCTTCCCCGCCCTGCCTGCACCTTCCCTGCCCTGCCTGCACCTTCCCTGCCCTGCCTGACCCTGCCCTGCCCTGCCTGCACCTTCCCTGCCCTGCCTGACCCTGCCCTGCCTGTGCCCTTCCCATCCTTCCCACCCTCTCCGTGCCCTCTATACCCTGCCTGCACCCTTCCCACCCTGCCTGTACCTGCCCTACCCTGCACCCTTTCTATCCTCCCAGGATGTCCCCTGTACCCTTCCCACCCTTCCCATGCCCATCCCACCTTTCCCAAGCCCTCCCCACCCTTCCCATGCCCATTCCACCCATCCCACGCCCATCCCACCCTTCTTAAGCCCTGGACTGTGGGAAGAGCCACAGCCCAGCCCTGATCCCACTGCCAGGAGGGGACACCCAGGGACAGGGATGTGGGAGAGAGGGGACACCCAGGGACAGGGATATAGGGAAGAGGGGACACCTTGTACCTGTTCCCCCTGTCCCAAGCCCCGTCCCTGTCCCTGCCCTCCTGGAGCAAACCCTGTCCCTGTCCTTGCTTCCTTGTCCTAAACCCTGTCCTTATCCCCTCTGTCCCAAACCCCATCCCTGACCCTTGTCCCCCCTGTCCCTGTCCCAAACCCCTGGGCCCAAGCCCCAGTCCTTGGGCTCTGACCCAAACCCGCCTGGAGCAGCCCCATTTTGGGCCAAAAGAGGGTTTTACCCCCCAATTCCAGGTGATAAATCCCAGGGACACCCCATTCCCGTTCCCCCAGGCCTTGGGGACACGGTCCCACTGGGGGCACAACCACCCTGGGCACTGTCAGCACCCTGTGCCACCCCCAGGCTGGGGACAGCCCCATCCCTGTGAGCCAGGAAAGGACAAGGCCTGGGATTTGGAGACACTCCCCCCCAGGAAGGGAACATTCCAACAATCCAATCCACCCCCTGTGGAATATGGAGGGAGGAATTTGGGGGGCTCTGGACCCCCGGACCCTGGCTGTGCCCACCTCGGGACGGGCCCAGGGGCTGCTGTGGGGACAGGAGGGGACAGAGGGGGAGGGACAAGGGGGGGGCCACGTTACCTTCTGGCAGGGAGGTGACGCTGAGGACCCGCAGGTTGGGGTTGGGGACAGGGAGGGCACACACGTCCCCCCCTCCCCTCTGCTCCAGGGGCAGCAGGAAGGTGATCTCATACTTGTGCAGGATCTTCAGGAATCCCACCTGGAACAGGGTGGGGGGCACGGGGGGGTCACCCCACGGCACCAGGGGTGGCCCCACACTGGCACCGTCCTGGATTGTCCCCCCCAGGAAAGGAGGGGAGGGGGGGGGCAGCACCTGGGGGGTCGTTGTGTCCTAAATATCCCCCTGATTAATCCTGAGGAGGGGAATTCGTGTCCTAAATAATTGGGAAAACGTAACAAACACGATCGTTTGGGACAAAAAAAAGTGGCAAAACCACCCAGTTTTGGGGCAAAACTCTGGGAACAACAACCCCAGGGTGTCAAACTCTGGGAACAACAACCCCAGGGTGTCACGGGAACAGTTTTCCAGCACGAGCCTTTCCTGGTCTGGAAAAGCCAGGAGTGTGTCTCCCATGGAATTTCTGCCCTGCCATGATGAAAAGCAGAGCACTCCAGAGGCCTCGGAAAAGGCCATTTTGGGAAGGGAGCAGCGAGTTCTGGGTGTGACACAAACCATTCCTGAGGGACAGCCCGGAGCAGGGTCGGGACCTGGCACTGCCAGAGGGAGAATCCCCCAAAAACCCCTGTCCTGGGCTCAGCCCCTGCACCTGGAGAAGAGAAAGCTCCAGGGAGAGCTGAGAGCCCCTGGCAGGGCCTGAAGGGACTCCAGGAGAGCTGGAGAGGGACTGGGGACAAGGGAGGGAGGGACAGGATACAGGGAATGGCTTCCCACTGGAAAAGGGGAGATTTGGTTGGGATGGTGGGGAGGCCCTGGAATGAATTTCCCAGAGAAGCTGTGGCTGCCCCTGGATCCCTGGGAGTGTCCAAGGCCAGGCTGGATGGGGCTTGGAGCCACCTGGGCTGGTGGAAGGTGTCCCTGGGTGGGTTTTAGGTCCTTTTCCACCCACACCATTCCATGACTCATCCATTTTAAACCATGGAAAACCATTGGGCACCAGCCCCAAGGAGCCTTTTCTCCGGAGGGCCGGGAGCACCCCAGACCTGCTGGCCCTGTCCTGGACCCCCATGGCCCCATCAGGGACCCCATAACCCCATCAGGGACCCCCATGACCCCATCAGGGACCCCATAATCCCACCAGAGACCCTATAACTCCATCAGGGACCCCCATGGCCCCATCAGGGACCCCATATCCCCATCAGGGACCCCATAACTCCATCAGGGACCCCATAACCCCATCAGGGACCCCCATGGCCCCATCAGGGACCCTAACACCCCACCAGGGACCCCCCCCATTCCCGAGCTGAGTGTGGGGGCTCTGCCATCCCCCCTTGTGTCCCCATGTCCCTGAGCTGGGTGTGAGGGATCTGCCATCCCCCTCTGTGTCCCCTCCCTGGGTTTGGGGGCTCTGCCATCCCCCCCTGTGTCCCTGAGCTGGATGTGGGGGCTCTGCCATCTCCCCCCGGGTGTGGGGGCTCTGCCATGTCCCCCCCCCGGGTGTGGGGGCCCTGCCATGTCCCCCCCCCGGGTGTGGGGGTTGTGTCTCCCCATCCCCTGGGGCACGTGCCGTGCCAGGGTGTCTGTGCCGGGGGTGTCCGTCACGATGTGTCCGTCACGCGCCGCGCGGGGGGAACAGGAGCAGCCACCCCCCTGTTCGGGAGCCCCCCCTGTTTGGGAGCCACCCCTGCACGGCGCTGACTCAGCCCCGGCAACCGCGGGCGGAGCACGAGGTGCCACCGCGGGGGGCTCCTGCCACCGCTGTCCCCTCCCTGTCCCCTCCCTGTCACCATCCCCACCGCGGGGGGCTCGCTGTCCCCTCCCTGTGTCCATCCCCATCATGGGGGGCTCGCTGTCCCCTCCCTGTCACCATCCCCAGTGCGGGGGGCTCGCTGTCCCCTGTCCCTTCCCTGTCACTGCCCCCACCGCGGGGGACTCGCTGTCACCTCCCTGTGTCCATCCCCATCACGGGGAGCTCGCCGTCCCCTCTCTGTCCCCTCCCTGTCCCCGTCCCCATCACGGGGGGCTCGCTGTCCCCTGTCCCCTCCCTGTCACCGCCCCCGGACGAGCCAGGACAATCCTGGAGGGAGTGATGGTGAGACCCGGCTCGGCCCCCCCGAACTGGGCAGAGGGGACAGTGCCACGCGTCCCCGGTGTCACCCAGCGGGTCCCCAGAGCCACCCCCTGCCAACGCGGCTCCCAAACCTGCTCCCGGTGATGGATCTGGGGGAAAACGGGAGGATCCAGAGCCCAGCCCCCAGCGGCGCCCTCGGGAGCGTCACGGCCACCCCTGGGGGAGCACACGGGGGTTGGGGGGCTCCCGGGACCCCCCGGGGTGTGACGGGGGGCTCGGGGGGTGTGAACGCCCCCAGGGCTGGGGACCGTGAGGGCACAGAGCGATGGGAACGTGCCCCGGAGCCCCCCAGGATGGCCCCAGCCCCTCTGGATGAGCCCGGGGTGAGCCAGCCCCCCCCGTGCCCCCCCCCCCTGCCCCCCCCCGTGCCCACCTTGACCAGGAAGCCGCCGTCCTTCTCCTGGGTCACCATCACGGCCGAGTCGTGGAGCTGCTCCTGGAAGTGCACGTGGGCCCCCTCGGGGGGGGGGCTGGGGGCGAAGCGCACGGAGCCCCCCTTGCCTTTGCTGCCTGCGGGTCACAGAGCCCCTGGTCACGGCCCCCTCCGTGTCCCCAGGGGCTGGGACCCCCCCCAAGGGGCTGGGACCCCCCACCGGGGGCTGGGGGGGGACAGGGACCGAGGCCGGAGTGTCCTCGGACACGGAGGGGCTTCCCCCTTCCCCCCCACTCCCTGTGCCAGGGGCTGGGGACACGGGGACACAGTGACACGGGGAGCAGGGACCTGCCACCACCCGATGCCCAGAGGGTCCCCAAGGGTCCCCAAGTGTCCCCTGGGCTCGGCAGCATCTGCTCTCTCCTGTGACTTCCTTAGGACAAGTGGTGACACAGGCTGGGGACACAGGGACACAGGGACACAGTGAGCTCCTCTCCGAGCAGGGACCTGCCACCAGCTGATGCTCAGAGGGTCCCCAAGGGTCCCCTGGGCTCGGTAGAACCCGCTCTCCCCCCAGCCAGGCCCTCCCGGGGAAGGGGACACGGCTGGGACAAGGCCAGGGGGCAGGACAGCCTCCCACGCATCCCAGGGCCAGGATTCTGGGGAGCAGCCCCCGGGCCCTGGGAGGTGACACAGGACCCCCGGGCCCTGGGAGGTGACACAGGACCCCCGGGCACAACCCCCGGGGGGATTTGCACGTGCTCGGTTCCATCAGGCTCTGTGGGAGCTTCCCAGGAAAAGCAGCCTCTCTTCCTCCTCCTCCTCCTCCTCCCCCCGGGCCCCCGGCCCCGCTGCCTCCATCTGGCAGCGCCGGCAGCAGATTGTCGCCTCCTTGCCTGAAGAAAAGGCTCTTTGTGCTGGAAGCGCCGGGAATCCCGGGATTTAATGACCCGGCATTGTTCAGCCGGAACAGGGCGGCCGAAATCCCCTCCACACGCAGGGACAGCGAGGGACACGAGGGACACGGCGACCGAGGGACGTGGCCACACACGGGGACGCGCGGGGGACCCCCTGTGACAGGGCACGGCCACCCCCCGCCCCACTGACCCCTCCCGGGCGCCACCATCCCAAGGATCCCGGCGGATCCCACATCCCCATCCCACGGCGGGGATGGGAGAGCTCCCGGAGTCCCGGTGCCAAGCCCTGGCTCGCGGCAGGGATAATCCCAAAGGAGGCTTTGTCACACGGGAGGACGGGTGACACCTGGGGACAGCACCCGGGGGGCCACAGGGCCATGGCCACCCCATTCCGGGCTGGCACAGCCAGGGAGCCCCCGGGCACAGGGAGGCTGCAGGAGGATGGAGCTGCAGGAGGATGGAGCTGCAGGAGGATGGAGCTGCAGGAGGATGGGGCTGGCACCGTGGACATCCCGGTGTCCCATCCCAGTGACCTCGGGTGGCTGCCCCTGTCACGGCCCTGTGCCCGCTACAGAGGGGACAGTGGGGACCTGGCAGGTGGGGACAGCCCTGGAAGAGCCTGGGGGGGTGACAGTGGCACTGGAGGGGTCCCAGGCCGGGGGTGACGGGCAGGGAATCCCCTGGATCCCCTGGATGTGGCATTTCCCCCTGTGCCCACAGCAGGAGGGTCCCCGGGACCTGTCGGACCCTCGGACTCACTGTGTCCCCTGAAATGAGGACACCCAGGTGTCCCCAGGGGCTCAAGGGCCCCCCCAGAACCCCCCAGCCCCTCTCCTGTTGCTCCTGCAGCTCCTGTTGCTCTCTGGGAAGCCGGAGGAGGCTGCGGAGGGAGCGAAGCCCTCGGGATGGAGCCGCCCCAGCCCTGTCCCAGCCCTGTTCCCCCTGGGATGCTGGGAGCACAGAGGAGCCAAATCCCACCTGGGAATGGCACTGAGAGCCCCCTCGGGCTTTGTCTCACCAAGGGCCTTTGGGGGGCCCCTCCAGACCCCCCAGTCTGGCACTGCCAGAGCCTTTTGGGAGGCACTGGGATCCAGGAGCACCCCGGGAGCGGGGGATGCCAGGGCTGTGCCTGTCACTGGAGTGGTGAGCAGGGACAGCAGGAATGTCCCCCTGGTCCCCTGTGGCCACTGACCTGCTCAACCCTCCATGGGCTGTCCCAGGGACACCTGAATCCCTGGATACAGGCAGAGGGACCCCCTGGCACGGACAGGGCCAGGGGACCCCAAAAGCTCCAGGCAGCCCCTCACATCCCTGCACATGGACAATGGACCCCCCTGGCAGGGCCAAAGGACCTCCCAGCAGGATTATGGGCAGAGGAGACCCCAAAAGTTCCAGGCAGCCCCTGAATCCCTGGATAGGGACAGAGGGACCCCCCCAGCAGGGCAGATGGGACCCCAAAAGCTCCAGGCAGCTCTTGAACTGCTGGATATGGAAGAGGGCCCCCCCAGCAGGATTATGGGGCAGAGGGAAACCCCGGGAAGGCCACGGGCAAGGGGGGAGCCCGGGGAAGGGACAGCAAAGCACGAGCCTGGCCCTGGATCCGGGCAGGGATCCCTGGAGGGGACACAGGACCCGGACTCACCCCTGCCGGCCGTCGCCATGTGTGTCCCCTCGTGTCCCCTCTGCTGTCCGTGTGTCCAACTTCAGCTGCTGCAGCAGGGGCACATCGTCCGGGAACGGAGCTGGAGCCGGGAGCAGGCAGGGAATGAGTAGGGAAAGGGCAGGGAATGGGCAGGGAATGGGCAGAGAAAGGGCAGCGAATGGGCAGGGAAAGGGCAGCGAATGAGCAGGGAACTCCCTCCGTGGCTTTGGGAAAGGGAGGATTCCCCCCATGCCCTCTCACTCCGCGTGTCCCCCCTGCCCCTTCGTTCCTCCCTATCCCCTCTCACCCCCCGGTGTCCCCTCTCACCACCCCCATTCCTCCCCATCCCATCTCACACTCCGTGTCCCCCGTGTTCCCCCGGTCCCCCCATCCCCTCTCACCCCCCGGTGTCCCCTCTCACCCCCCGTATCCCCCCGTATCCCCCCGTGTCCCCCCA